TGATAAAAAAAAAACACCTAAAAGTTCAGGTTAATTTTTACGTTAAAGAGCCACGTTGCAGCTATGTTATGGTTGTAGCACGAACCTCTCACAGAATACGGGTGTAAAATAGCAGCTCAAAGCTACTGTGTTTCATATTGTGAGCGTAGAGAACCAGAGGCCCTTTTAACTGGAAACGACGCATTCCATCTTTGTCGTCAGGAGTGACAACGCATTTGCATTTTGATTCTTAATCGAGGATAGACGTAGATGTCTAGGGACCACAGCATCCACCTACTATCAGGTGGAATGTATGCTCGTTTGTCACCCTTATTCTATAAAAAAAATTATACCCAGCAGATGATCCTACAATGCTTGACAGTAATAATTTTTATATTTTATTTCAAATACCACATTTTCTGTCACATTATCAGCGATCGCGTAATTTGAATACGCATACTTAAGGCTTGACGACGATAACAATGACTCAAAATTCGTAAAGAATAACATAATTAAAACTCATTACTTACCTAAACAACTTTCAAATTGTTTGACTAACTATCTGAGTCATCAGCCCACTATGGCCCAAATAAATTATCGAAATCTGCCAAGTTACTGCGGGTAAAACCGCAAACGCACCGTTAGTCCACCGTGACAAGCTCAATACAATATAATTTAATGGAGTGAAAAATTTCACTTACATAGAATGTAACTAAATATAGTCAGTTCCTTGAACTTTAACCATTTCTCTGTCCCGTGAGTCATATATGAACTTTTCGATTGTTTAACTATTGTGTCTATTTTGCGAACAGGGAAACTATTAAGGTAACGAGCTTAATTTTCTGAGTGTTCACATGTGTCGAATTTTGTAAGTACCCTGGGTTGTCGCTTAGAAGGAAACGAATAATCAAATAGATGACAAAGATTTATAAATTGTTTTAAGTTATCTATTGTTTAGCATAAATGTTAAGGAGAATTTCATTACCGTTGACAAATTATACTTTATTAGTTTATGTTATAATTTTACACCCGGTTTCTGAAACTGTCAAACCATTGGCCAATTAAATCTTGGGTTGCAGGAAGAATGACTTGGCAAACAAGAATGACTTTAACCGTGGTAGAGCCATGCTGCAGCTATATTAGTAGTATAGTTGTAGCACGAATGGGTCGGCTCGACCGGGGAGGGAATCTCTCACAGAATACCAGCGTAAAATAGCAGCTTAACACTGCTGTGTTTCGTGTGGTGAGTGTAGAGAACCAGAGACCCTTTATACTGGAAACGAGGCATTCCATCTTTAGTCCTCACGGGTGACAACGCATCTGCATTTTGATTCGCAAACGAGGATAGATATAGATGGCTATGGGCCACAGCAACCACTTACCATCAGGTGGACTGTGTGCTCGTTTGTCACCCTATCCTATAAAAAAAACATAACATATGTTAAACCAAGAGTCAATAGTAAATACCGCAATTTTGAGTTTCTCAAAAGCAGATTCGCTCATTTTCATTGATCAGCTTAAGGTGAAACGTCAAGTTATTAATGAATATTGGCATTTTATGCCATTGATCGTTGTGCTACGGTGAGTTTTGGTAAAATTTTTCGTAGTTATAAGCATATATTATTAATTCTTATAAATAAAGATAGTCAAGTAATATAAATAATAATATATTATGTTCAACAATACATTTAAAACTGAAAACAAAAAAACATGCATGAGTGTCGTGGAACACCCGGTTGGAACGAAGTTCCTTTCATAGTATATTATTATTGATAAACGTATTATATTTATTGATAAACAAATATAAATAAATTAATTATTAGCGTCTATTAAAATGAAACGTCATTTAAAATAAAATACACTATGACGCAAGGGGCAGTGACGAAAAAATCTTAAGCTTTTTGTCGCCTAGCTCCCATCCGACAAACCCGTACCGTCCGATAAGGAACTTCGTTCCAATATGTATAGTTTATACAATGTAAAATTTATAAATCCTCGTCGCCTGTACTAGGATTTATAAATTTTACATATATACATAATTATATTCTTAATACAATATTCTTTTATTTCCTTAACATGTAACGAACTTTTTAATTCTAGTTATTGGAGCCTCCTTGGATACCTAATGCTTGTCAGGGGACTTCGCCCTTCCATTGCCAAATTAACAAACCCTATAAAACTACTTGGTTTTTAGATAGTTTAAAAGCCGTAATTTCTATTTATATAACCATAACTGCCGGTATACAGGTTAGGAAGAAGGAGAACAGGTATATTATAATAGACCTATAATACGAACCTTGGAACAGCATCTAAGGTGTATGGCGATTGGCACTGAGATTGTCTGTACAACTAACTTGAAAGGGCTCAAATCCTAGGCTGTGAGTTTATGCTGTATCTGACCCAAAATCGGAACGAAAAGCGCGGTTGATTACCAGCGGTACGGCCTTTTTTGTCACCTATCCTGCCAGCTGATTAGTTTCAATCATCATCATTCACCATCATCATCATTACAGTCCTTCACAAGTCCACTGCTGAACATAGGCCTCCCCCAAGGAATGCCACAAAGCACAGTCCTAAGCCACCTGTTTTGTTTTTCTGAGTTTCAGTAGTAACCAGAAATTGAAATTTTACAAAAATATCAATATTGAATAATCTAACCGTGTATAATGTATATACAACCGACGAGCATGTATGCGTAGGAGGCATACGGAAGTAAAGAAGGAGAGAGGTGTGTCAGGATCGTGTCAAATGGAATTCCGTAGTCTCTGCCTACCCCTATCGGTGACAGTCGTGTTTATGTATGTATATAACGGTGTAACTACATATTTAGCTCGATATTGCATTAGTGTAGATGTAACGTAGCATGAATACCCATTCATCACTGTCTATCTATACTTTCTTGCGAACACGAGGATGATCTTTTTTATTTTATCTAGATGTTGCCATTTCAAATAAAAAATAATAGAGATTCAGTTTAAAAGCAGATACCGCATCATTAAGAAGCGTGCCACATATCTTAAGCTCGAACAAAATTTCTACTAATAATGTCATTGAACGAAAAATCAATCATATTTGAAACTGCTATAAAATATGATTGCTTGATTATTTTACTTACTGTAATCATTATTAAAAAAATACCACAATGCACACCGACAAAGAGATTTTTCAATCAATTTTAAACATTCGTGCAAAACTTCGATATTACAAGTGACTGATATCACATGTAATCTTTTATCGCCGAAATGTTGAAACACTTGTTGACAAGTCGCACAAGATAAGCTGATATGGAACGATAAATCTGTCGCATACAGAATTCACTAGATAGGGACCGATAGTTTAAAGATTATGCAATATAGAATAGGTATAAGTATTACCGATAAAGAAGACCTACATTCAGTGAACCCTAACACAGCAATTTTGGAAAGGAATCATAAAGAAATGTCATAGGCCGCTAACATATTTATGAGGAAAAAGGACGACAAACTAGAGTACAGTTTGCCACAGGAATGGTGCTCCCACATTGCCGTTAGAAAATGCTGTTCCGTAGACACCTTATTAATCGCCGGCACAGAATAAATAATAGTATGGCGTACGTTCGGCGAAGAATCAGTTTTCTCACTTTTCTCACAAACACGACACGCGTATCGTGTAACACGTAGCAATATACACTTTACAGCTCTACATTTCCCTAACTTCATAGAGCTGTAATCCTGTAGTAGTTAACTCTAAAAAATTAAACTGCTCTTTTACGTCCCCAAAAGTCATTTAGAAAAAACGTAAAATATAGGTTTCAGACTAGCGTTCATACATCAACATAGCGTTTAGAAAACATACATGAAAATAAAATTATATACATACTCGTATGTCTCGACACAATGTCTCTACATAGTATAAAACAAAATCGCTTCCCGCCGTATAAGCGCTTAGATCAATTGACAGAATGATTCATGAGGAAGGTTTATATGTATAATACATATATATTATATATTATATAATTCTTCTGTACACTCGGTGTATGTGATTGAACTCCTCCTAAACGGCTGGACCGATTTTAATGTAATTTTGTGTATGTGTTTAAGTTGATTAGAGAATGGTTTAGATTTACAATTGGACCCGGTGGGTGGCGTTGTTGTCGAGATCTAGAAATCAACCGTGGGAAACCGGGGCGAATCACTAGTTGCGTATATTAGGTTATCTTTAACTGGGACCAATTTATTTCTTTTTTTGTATCTATTGGTAGTATCAATATTCATTAAGCCATTACCATCATACACCATGCATTAAACATAATGAGGAAAACGGGATGGAAAGTTGTGCTAATTTGCTTTAAGTCGTTATTACGTATTCCATTTCTAAGTCAGTTTCAAAAGGCTCAAGTTCTAAGAGTACGCCGTAAATTTCAATTCCCTTCGCCAATAATGAAATTGTTAATTGCAATTTTAAGTGCCGCTTCACCACATACTTGGCGATGAAGGAAAACATCGCGAGGGAACCGGCTTAAGTAAGACAACATGTGAATTACAATGTCCACCAGCTTTGGGACGTATACGGGTTGTTATTTTGCTGTAAATTATAATGTAATTAATACATGGCAGAGCTACGCTGCAACTATATTATGGTCGTATCGTGATTGGATCGGCTCGCCCGGGGAAGGACCAGGCACGCTTGCGCCACGCTCTCACAGTATACCAGCGTGAAAATAGCAGCTTAATGCTGTTGTGTTTCATATGGTGAGTGTAGTGAACCGGAGACCCTTTTTACTGAAAATGAGACATTATATCTTAATCCTTAAGGTTGACAACGCATACTGGGTTTTGACTCTTAATCGAGTATGAATATAGATTTCTATGAGTCACAGTCACAGCATCCACTTACCATCAGATGGAACGTGTGCTCGTTTGTCACTGTTATTCTATAAAAAAATGAAGTAATGACTACTCGGATTCTTTTAGTACAAATAAAAACTTTCTATTTTAAAATTTTTGACAAATTAACATGGTAGGAGAACAGTGAATACTCACTTCATTTGTTTTACTATAGTACTCTTGCCCGACTCTCCAGCACCTGTAAAGAGAAAAATACTTTAAAGTATACAGGAATAATTTTATCCAATAGTTAGCGGTTATCTATGCTACATACGCAATATCGTCTAGAGTGGACTCGTCATCAAAATGCACCTTTAATTAAGCAATCTTGCGTTGTATATTTATGTGACTCACAGTACTGCACTATCATGACTTAAAATGGACTAAAAGGAGTCAATGTTTTGGAATGTTCTCTTTTTGAAAACCGCGGTAAGTGATGATGGCAAGTCCATAATAAACGCTTGCTCAACCGCCGCACATAAAACGGCAGTGATATAAAAACGGTTAATTACCGAGCGAATGTAAACCATTCATCTCGCGTTAAATGCATGTCTCACTGCTAGAATAAAAATAGGTTAGAAAATAAAACCGCAGATCTGTGAAACACGCGTAGAAAGCATCGGCACACGTAAATGTTTTAAACTATTTAAAATTTTCGCGATTTTTTACCTAGAGAATTAGTTATGTGTGAACTGTATATAAAGCAGTTCTGTCACTTTTATGTTCCAGCAAAGCATTACATCGTCGTGAATTTAAGGCATATTCAAAATAATTTCCTTCACGAGACCACTTAGTATGGAATGGATCACAATTAGGATAAAGTACTTAATAACAAAAACCATAAAAGAACAAAATTAGTTTCTCATGATATTAATATATAATATAGAAAACCAAAGATTTGCTCCATTTAAGCTGAACCCATATTACACAGACACCAGTCTGAGCAGTATTACGCTCACCAACACACCTGTCCAACTGCAAACAAAGTCGTTATGGCCAAATGTTCAAAGAAATATGTCATTTGGACGCATCCTTAGATGCTTCTAAATCCACTATCGTGCGTTCACGTCTCATTAAGAAAAAAAAGACTAGTGTGTTTATTTTTAATAATTGATACTCATATTTGTGGGTTAATAATAAAAATACGCAATACACAATACTGTATAAGTCGGTACCTTAATGTATGGTCGTGAAAGTTGGGTGTGGCAAAAGAAGCATGAAGGTAAAATTAATGTACCGTGAAACTTGGCAACTTTGCCATTTTTGGAAGAACTTAAAAGTCTAGGACCAATTTTCCAACATAAAAGGTACTTTCAGACTGGGCGTCAATGATAAATGAGACACTACATTATTCTTCAAAGATTTGGTATATATTTGGTGATTTAAATAAGTACTAACATACCTACTACTCAAAAATAGAAGATGGCAAAGTTAACCTTACTTTGTGGCAATTTTTAAAAAAAATAAATTCTTGAAAAAAATATATAATATAATATATAATTAGACTTTAAGGATGGAGGTAAGTTTACCACATAATATAATACAGAACACTCATAGCTATGAATTCCTTTAATTGTGTACAAAGTAACAAAGTTTATGCTAGTGGCAAAATTTCTCACCCATTATTCAATTTTTCATACAAACTTAAAAAATGTGTCAGGGTTGTCAAAATCCTTTGATGTGATTGATTACGTACTTTACTTATTTATATTTTTTATTTAAATCTTGTCACAATAATTTCTTAATCAAAAATCTAAAATATATCAAAAAAAAATAATCTCGTCTAAAATTAAAAATCAAATTGGTGCAATTATAAGCTTAAATTAATTATAGTATAGATCAAAAATAAAGCTTTTCACAATCATTTTTATCATGTATTCGTTTTTTTATTAGTCATCATAATTTTATTACCATCAGGTAAAAAAGTAATTATAAACAACCTAAATATTGTTTAACCACAGTAGCAAAACATTCGTAATCCTTAAAAATGAGTGTTCTTTAGGTGTTAATATCAATACACTAAGTTGAAAATATGAAAAATACTGAGTAGTAATAATATTGTAAATATCCGACAAGGCAATAATTATAATATAGATTTCTCTTTTCTTTTCCTTCAATTTTGATAAAGATGAATCGATTGACAACTCATTATGTAAAATCGGTCCAATTGGCTGCTATAGCACTTCAAACAAAATCATCAAAAGAGGTTAAAACGTCGCCGGCACAATTCCGCTTTAAAATAAAATGCCAAAACTAACTCTCATGTTGCCATATCGAATACAATGCTATTAATTAGTTATTAACTTTTCATACAAAAATGGCATATCACGAAAAACGTTACGTTGTCCGTGTTAATCGTAATTTTGTGCCTGTACATCCCTGATGGCAACTTAACTTCCATTGGTAAAGTTGCCAGACTTGACTGTAATACTAAATTAAGCATGAGATATTGATTAATAAGAAAAATGTTTGGGGTAACTCTATATGATATGTTGTGACATTGTGTGATAGAAAAAATTTGGTTTGCAAGATTTTGTGACCACAGTTAAGTAAGGAATGCTTCGGTGATTTGGACACGTTAGAAAGAATGAAAAGTGTGACAAAGCAAATTTGCCACTCTTACTTCATTCATTCGTCCTGCAGAAGAAAGTGGCTGAGTCGACCAGGGTATAGACGGAAGTTTATCGACTAAAATTGCAATATATTGAAGATGGGCAAAATTACGATCACACCTTTAACCGACGAGCATGTATGCGTAAATATATGGATGTGAAAAAATCCAGAATCGTGCCAAATGGCAGTTCGACGTCTCTGCCTACCCCTCTAAGCGAGGCGCGCGAGAGTTTATGTACTGTAGGTATGTTATTATTCTAATGGATAATTATTAAGTCTGGTATTGTTGACTTCTTTAGCTCTTATTTAAGAACAACTTTTTTTTAACAAAGTGATATAAATGTTTGCTATCCATAGTTATATAGTAATATACTTCTTAATTTCATTTAGCTTTTATCGAGCTCCAGATATGTTCTACACAATTAATATACCTACCTCGTGTAATGAGTTAGGTGGGCGTCGCAAAACGAAGCCTGTCAAATACGGAACGGGTCCCGAGAATCCTGACCCCAGTCGTATCTAATTGGCCAGCCAACGCGAACGGCCGATCTCTGACCCCTCGATACACATATCACCTACACCGAGTCGGTCTTCTGATTTTCTGATTTAGTGTAACTATTGCAGCATCAAATACCAACTAGATAGCAAGTTGTGTACTTATTTTTTGTTTGTTATTTCATTTGCCAGCTGCTAGTAAAAAAAAAAATGGTAATACATATATTTTATGCTACAAGTCATGTTACGCTAGCTAACATTAATTTATATTGTTAGGATTTTTGATTTGGATCTTATTAGACTAAAAATAGGTAATAGCGATCATAGACACTTTATAGTTTTTTTTTTATGTAGTCGCTGATGCGATTAGTAAAGTTATATTTGGTCAAATAACTTGTTTCAATTAACAATTCTGGGTACACGTACAATTCTCCATAAGGTTGCAATTCCCGTCTGTGTATTACTCACACCCAATAGATAATAACGTCTTCTCATTCAGTTTGTAATTCTCAGTGTTTATTGCAACTTCATAAAACAATCTAATCAGACTTCATAAGGCGTTAATAACATTACCGAGGCGAAAGTATGAAACGGAAAAACTTTCACGGTAGTATGAAACATCAATATTTTCATACGAATATTTTCTTTACCGTAGATAGAAGTCGACAAGCCGGCCGAGGCAGTGTTTTTGTGATATCATCGTGATAAAATCGACGATCGCATGCTCGTGCTCGTGACACAAGAGCTGTCTGTAACATCCGACGCCACTTCAACGTTAACATAGTGGCATGTTGATCGAATTAAGTTCGAGATAGTTTAATTAGTTTTCAAGTTCAAAAACGTTAGTGTTATAGACTAAAATAGAAAAAGCTACGCTAAGTTTATGTTTCATTTTGCAACTTTTACTAGAAAAATTGTCTGGAAAATAAAATATTTCGAAAACATATGAAGACCGCCAACACGCAATGGGGCAACGCTGGGGACACTTCCTTGCCCTAAAACCCTCTCAGAAGTGAGAGGAGGCCTGTGCCCAGCAATGGGACGAACACAGGCTGTAACTTTAACTATAAAAATTAGTTTTTAATAAATTAATACTTAAAATATTGCTTCCGTGCAGTTTAAAAGGCTCTAGCAGAATTAACAGCGCTGTGGTTCGCCACAGCATTACGCCGAGCTGGGGACCATTTCACATCGGTAATTCCTTTCACAACCCCAATTCTAATTGTAACTTATCATCTCCGTGAACAAACGATTTTTTTTAATTTATTTAACTTCATATACACTGTAATGTATAAAGGCGAACTTAATGCCTGTGGCATTATCTACCAGTCTACCTTAGAGTAGTGCTGAGATAAAGACGTAGGTGTAAAAATAAGTAGGTACAGAAAATCTATATACGGACGTATAACTGAATACATATTAACATAATGTACATATTATATATTTTTCTATCTAACTAAAATCCACTACACCATATCATCCAGTAGCGGGTGCAAACTCTAACAAGGACAAGCAGCAGCATTTATCTGATAACTAATTAAGAATAAAAAAAACTGAAGGTGCTCGCTTGCCAAACATAGAAACTATAACAACTAAACCCCTAAAATTTGGGACTTGATGGGCTGCAATCAATGAAGTTTAAAAATACAGATTATAAAACTTTTGGAGTATGTAGTTATGAATCTATACCAAGTTTTGTGAAACAACAAGTGTTTTTAATTTTTTATTTAAGAGTTTAGTATGTAAACATGTTTTACAGAGATGTTTTCTGAATGATCAATTATACTAGTTAATTTTATCATTTCTCTGTTAAAGGAGATGTTTAATTTTCCAATACATCTATCATCATACAGAAAAAATGCCACAAAATCGGGAAAATATTATTTCGGGAATTTGAGTCTTATTACCTACTTCTATATAAATTAACATTTTCTTTTTAATTATGTCGGCATCTTGATTTACAGCGTAATGTTATTCATGCATTCATAAATTATATCTTAAGCACATTTAATAATGTACACATCATAATTAAATTATAAATATATTACATGGTATTTTTGTTTTATTAAGAGCTCTCTTAGAAAATTATTT